AGAAAATATTTTTCTATTTTTAATTAAATAAAAAGTTACCAAAAGTTTTATATATAATTTGAAAATCGTATACTCTATCCTTAAAACACTGTTAAAATGCATCGTATTGCTTTTAATTAAACTAAAATAAAAATGGTTAAGTATACAAGAGAGCATTTACTAAAAAACCAAATAGTTGTTCAAGTATCTGACTGTGGTTTACATGCAACATGCAAATATGAAAAAGTTATTAAACTCAAATGAGCTTACGATGAATCTTATATAGAAAGTCATATTAATAATGATTGCAAGTTTAAAAAAGGCATTGTTTCAATCTTAAATTTTTTTTCAATACCAAAGGAAAATGAGCCTATTATAAAGCAGTTTCCTTGTAATAAATTAGATAATGCTATTCATAAAGTTTATATTAGTCGTGTATTTACACATACTACTTATAGTGGAGCTCCAAGAAGAGATATTGTTGCTAAAGATCTTTTTCTAACAAAATTTTCTTCTGATAAACCTGTAAAATACAAAAAACTTTCTGAAGAAGAGTTACAATTATTAGACAAAGAATTAATTCGCTAATCAAAATAGAAAATCAGAGGTTCAGTAATATGATCGGTTTTATATGAACAATATACAACTTGTTCTTCCTGATTATATGATTATTGCAAAGAAGTTCAAGATAGTCAAGTATTTAAGGTATTATATAAAATATTATATAGTTTTATTTTAATATATAATTTAATTAAAAAAATTTTTTATATTAATTAATAAAAGAATGCTCTATCAAAACAAGAAAAACCAAAAAATAAAAAAAAATTTATGCCAAAGATTCAACTTCGCAGTAATTCAGTAGCAAAATATATTTATAATCAAGATATTGGAGACCTTTTAAGTATAGTAAATAATACCAATACAAATGACGAAAAAAGTTTTTGGGTAAAATTTGCAGAAATAGGTCAAAGAGGCGGCTTTAACAACAAAAAAGTATTTGAAGGACTTTGTCAAATAATGGTACAAATTGCTGATCGTGAACAATATAAAAAAAGATTCCAAAATCTTAAATATTCAGATCAATTTTCTGACTTTTTAGTTATTCTTGCAAGTCTTAGCCCACGAGCGTATAATATTTTTAGGCAAAATTTTGCAGGTCGTACTATTCAAAATATAAGATTACATTACACATACTCACTATTTACACTTCATGATCCTGAGCTTTGCTATGAAAATGTAGTACACGTTAAAAGACTTGTTAATACAATCAAATATACTGGTCCAATTATTGCGATGTCAGACAATACTAAACTTAAAGAAAGGCTTGGATTTTCATTTCTTTATGGCTGTATTGTTGGTTCGACACTTTCGACAGAATCAACTAGAGTTTCTTCATATGAAGATATATACCAAATTATTGATACAATTAAGTCACATAATGCTATTGCTTCTCAAGTCTGTGTTTATCTATTGCAGGTAAAAAAAAAAAAAAAAAAAATTTTATTGACAAATTTTTTTGCATATATAAAATGTATATTTATTCATTTATTCATTATTATACATAGATTCCTTTTTCAAAATTTTCTCCTTGTGTTATTGCAATGATTGCAAATAAAGGAAAAGAAATAGCAGCAAATATTTTTGAACTATATAAAAAGTTACTTGACATGGCAGCACATCTTCAACTTTCAATTCTTGGATTTGGCGCTGATGGGATGTCTGCAGAATTTAATGCGCAAAACCAACTTATGCAAATAGAAACATAGGAAAGATTAATTTTTAAGGATAAACTTTACAGTATGTAAATATTAAATAATACGTAACACTTTTAATAATAATTATTTTAACAATTTATTTCAGATATTAATTTTAGTTGCCCTATTTATCCTAATGTCAGTCCTATCATTCGAATTACAGATTCTCTACATGCAAAAAAGAACTGTTGTAATGCACTTTTTTCTGGTGCACATCTTTTGTCTCTTGGAAAATACTCAGCATGCTATGATCAAATTCTTGAATTAAGAAAAAACCCTCAAAGTATTCTTTACAAAAAGGATGTCGAAAATGTTAATCATCAGGATGATGGGGCTGCTTACTAATTATTTTGTTCCTCACTTCTCAATCAAGTTATTATTCAAAATGACGAATCCGTTACAGAAAAATATGAGCTATTTGTTTTTTTGTTTGTTTTTGATAAAAATTATTTAAATTTCAAATTTTCATTTAATTTTTACTATTAACTAAATAAATAATTTTTGTAGGAGAATTAATTGACGCATTTCAAAATCGTAACATTTCACCTCTTGAAAGATGCAAAATGGTCATGTTGGGGTTTTTTTTCTTAAACTATTGGAAAAGTCATATTCAAACATGTACACAAGATTATTCAGAAATTATTAGTATTAAAAAAAACTTTATAGCACCAGTAACATTTAATATTTTAATGAGTCTTCCTGAATCTATGGTATTTGAATTTTTTTTTTTTATATAAATCATTCTGTGATTATCTATTTATCATATAACTTTGATTGTAGATTCTTTTAATAATTGCTTATCGGGATTTCTACCCCCAATATTCTTTTATACTATGGATGTATGGTTCAGAGGGATGTAAACATTTTTTTGGGTTAGCTTGCCAGTTCCTTCCTAATTTTTCATTCAATGACTTAATCGCATTAGTGCCAAAGATTGTATGCTTGTATAAGGCTTATTCCTCGGGTTCTCTCAGATCAGAAAAGGAAAAAACAACAGGTATTGGTTAGTATATATAATATATAATATATTATAAAAATTATAAAATAAAAATAAATTAAAAATAAAATAAAACTTATTATTTTGATCATATAGGATACATTTCACATTATTCAGATTCAAGTATCATGGAAAACTTGGAAATCTTGCGAGATTGGCCTTCAAATAATGATATTAAAGGAGCAATAAATTATGCTTATGAACAAGCCAGTGCACTTGCAAAAGATATTCTTGGGATGGTGCTAAATACTAAAATTCGTAGTTTTATAACCATTATAAAAGAAAGTGAACCCAAAATTAGAAATAAAACTGAAAATCAACTCATTGATTCACACGAATTTAATAGTTCACAAGAATCCAGTAGTTCACAATCTAATAATATTTTTATATCTGCAGCAGCCACAGAAGTTAATACCTGAAATAGGTTAAATGTATTGAACGAAGTAAGGATTGCTTATGTTTTAAGGCATTATGCTACCTTTACATTTCTACTTTTATTAAAATCAAAAATTTTACAAAGATCATATATTTAATATAATTAATTTACTTAGTGCCTTATTATTAAGTTTATTCTAAATTAATTATTTTTAGATCGAAGAGGAAGATTGTTTTGCTGATGGGTGTTCACAGTTAACCTTTATACTCGATTCTACTAGAAGGTCTCACAATTGCAATATTGAAGATGATGCTAGTATTGGGATTACAAATAAAAAGCTTAAGATTTCTGTACTGGTCAACCAACGTCGTAGCCATGAAGCCTATACAAATCAAAGAATGGAAAGAAAAGTTGCTGCATTGTCTGCATCTGGCCCTAATTATAGGTTTAATAACAGTCTTGTATTATTTCTTTCATCAAACGAGTATGCTTGCCCTGGTATCCCATGTCAAAATCGATGGAAAATAAGAGCAAGACTCGAAAGACTGAATGATGGGGTAAAATTTCATTAAGTAAGTTGATTTATTGTATCAGGTAATTAGGATAGTTTAACAGTAGCATATTTCATGCACAAGTAGAATTTTTGATTAGTTGAGTTAGAAAAATAAGAAATTGAAACAGGAATACTGGGGTTTCAAAGTTAAATCAAGAGAATTTACTTCAGTATGACATATTCCAATTTACTTTTATTATTAATCATTATTTATTTCATGAAATCAAATGCATTCTCATAATATATTCGATTTTTATTTCTGAAATCATTAATTTTGAAATTCTAGTAATAGATATTTAGTTTTGGAAACTTTAGCTTGATGAAATTGTAATAGAACATAGGGCATTTACTTTATTGTCAAAATTCAATAGAGATGGAAAATTCTAGTTGAACAAATAATCACATAATCATTATTAAGACAAAATTGGAGTTGAATGAATGAACACATGGCATTCATTTATTGTCAAAACCAAGCAGAGATAGGAAACGCAAGTGGAATAAGAATTTGAAAAACCAGCTGAGAGGGGAAATGCAGTGGAACAATAATTTTGGATATTAATATCGGAATAAAATAAGAGTCGAAAAATAGTATATATGATGGAGATAATATAAGTAAAAAAGATAAGGTTAGAAATGATAAAAAAACTGCTAAGATTGTAAATTTGAAAATTGTTTGTCATGAATTTTTTAAACTTATTGAACATTGTATTAATATAACTTTTTATTTTTTTTTTTATAACAGCCAAAGTCTGTGGCTGTTAATACCAACTTCAAGATACTACTATTGAAAAGAGCATCGAATCTGATGGTTTATATAAGATTTGACCTAATTCGATTATTACCTTTCTTTATTATTTGCTTATTAAAAGTTTTCAATTTATTAGCAAAGTTTGATATTGGCACCTTTGGAAATATTAAGAATAATGTAAGTTGTTTGACTCTGTATATTATTAATTTAAAGAATTTTCTTTATACATATTTAACTTTACTTCAAATTTTAGTTTAATGCTTGATAATATGAAACTGTTATCAATAAATTCATGAAATTTGATGCTAAATGCTCCACACAAGATATCAAATACTAGCAGAGACAGAAATGACAATGGATCAAAAAATACTGAAAACTAGTAAGATTGGAAACGATAATAAACAAATAATCTTGGTGATTGTTATCAGAATGAAATTGGAGTCAAAAGAATGTTAATACGATATTTACTTATCAAATACAGTAGAGATAGGAGGCAAATAATTAGATAAAATGAAATTGAACTTGATAAAATAGACATCTAGCATTTATTTATTATAAATCAGTATAGATAGAAATGCTAGCAGAATACATAGTTTTTGATATATTAATGGAATTGCATTGAAAAGAACAAACATAAGTCATTTATTTATTGTCAAAAAATCTGAAAATCGAAGCATGTGATATTTGACATTGTTTTCTTAATAGATTTAAAATTGAAAAAAAATATATTTAATTATTTATTATTTATTTATTTATTTATTTTAATAATCTAGGATTGGGTGTGGGTCCCATAGCTTAGCGGTTAAGCTCCCATACTCTCCACAGTCAAGATCAACGGTTCAAATCTGGCTGAAGGCAAAATTAAAAAGATTTTAGCTTCTGTAACCTAATAAGGAGCCTGTAATTGAATACGAAGCCCTGTGGTTAAGTCCAAGTGCAGT